CAAGTACTTCTTTAAGAACCTGAGCTTTAATATGGTTTTAACTAATATATACCTTAAAAACAAAACAAAACAAAAACAATATGTGGGCAAATCTTTAATAAAAGCCTAGAACCAAAACACTGTGCAAACTCTTAAACTGTCAGCAAGTGCTTTCAGAGCTGCCTGACGGCGGAGGACACCTAGAAAGGCCTCCGCTCCTGAGTTTTTCTGTTTCGGGAAAAGGGGGCTGACGGGGAGACGGCTCAGAACAGACAGGAGGAGAAGGGATGAAGGAATCCAGCCTGGAGGGGGCAGAACATGAATGATTTTTAACCAAAGGCTTTCTCGAGGTCTCAGATACTTTTTTAAAAAAATATATATGTTTTTATTTTGGATAAACAACATGAAATCAACATTTTAAAAAACTCGAAGGTTCTCACACTGTCTCCAATGGTCCTGCTTTATCATTCTGTTTCAAGGAAGGAGGCTCCCTGCGGAACACAGCTTGGCTACTCTTCATAAGGCCCACCTAACACCACGCAAGCTCTGGCTGGCGAAGAGTTTTAAACAAATGGCATTTTCAAATGTGAAAGAAACGTAATCACTTGCAATGCAAGAAAAGTCAATGCTAAGCTACGCTTTAATTACAGTTCTAAGAAATAAAAGCAATTAGGCACCCATCAACTGTAGCGGGATTTTATTCTTCAAGTTGTCACGTTGATAGGTAAGCCGTCAAGCATCCCTCCTTTATATTATGGCCTAAAATGGGGGAGGCGGGAAGCGTTCATTCCCAGAAGACACTTTAAAAATAGTCTAACAGTCCATCTTCCTCCCGCTCTCTTTAGTTTTCATTTCAGCCTCGTATGAAATCCACAGAAGTGCTAATGGGGGCTGGGGAGTTTCTGGCAAAGAGGAAACGATTACATTTGGCTATTTTTTAAGAGATCCCTACCCTGAAACACCTTTTCCTGGCCTCCAGGAAACAGATTTGTGGGGAGAAAGGGAAAAATCAGTTGTTCAATTGTTAGACCTTAAACAAGTCTGCTTGGATCATAGGTGACTGAGACATCGAGCACCAATCTAGTTCGATTCCACTTCTTCGCTGTGTCCTTTCGCTTTGGCCAAATGTCCTTGCCTCTGGCCTTGGGGGAGTGCCCACAGGGATCGATTCAGTCCTCCTGCCTGGCGATGGAACGGCTAGCGCCCTCAGCCCAGTGGCCCTCGCTCAGCCTGGTTTGAATCTTCTATGACTCCTTTCCTTCCCTTCTATGGTGTGGACCTCAGTACGTGTCCCTTCTCTGCGCACTGATTTCTCACCTAAACTCATGCTGCAGCGTCTTCCGTAGCCACGTTTGTGCTTCTGCCTCCACTGTTTTCTCCTGGGGGTTTGTGATGTGGTCAATTTTATGTGTCAACTTAACTGGGCTATGGGGTGCCCAGATATTTGGTTCAACACAATTCTGGGGTGTCTGTGGGGGTGCTTCTGGGTGAGATTCACATTTGAATGGTAGCCTGAGTAGAACAGGTGGCCCTCACAATGTGGTGGGCCTCATCCAAGGCATGGGAGGCCTGAACCAAAGGTGGAGATGG